GCTTAGCAATGGTTTGCAGGCCATGTCCTATCACAATGAGGCCAATAGAGTATCTAAAATAGTAGTAGTCTTCTTTACACATCTATACAAATTCCCTGAGTTCCCTTGGAGTGGGGAAGGTCTACATTTTTCACAAGAGTGGAGACTGGGGAGAGAGTCTTCCATCCCATGGTACTTGGAAACTAATGAAATTTACTCAAGGTGAAATCATATCAGCTTCTTATTTGATAAGTGAACAAATGGGCCTGTTGTTTCTTAAAAACATCCCTGGGGAGTTTTCAGAATCTTCATCTTTTGGACATAACAACTGTACATATCCGTGGCTATTTTGATACACACACATATACTCTACACTATTGACATCCAGAATGCTTTTATTTGGTTAATTTCTGTGGACACTGTTTAGGGCAAATGGCTTGAGAAGTCCTCACATATGGTACCACCCATCTCTCCCAGAGCTTCCCCTTACTCCAGTAACCATCTGGACTACCCCTCTTGTGCAACTTCTTGCTCTAGTGATATATCTCAGCAAAGTTAGAAAGCTACATGTGATTCTTTACATGCTACTTATGTTGATGAACTTCTGAGGGCAGGAAGCATGTTCTTGAGAGTTACAGTACCCTTCACATTAGTAGGGAATCCTTCTGACAAAGGCTCAAAACTGAAGATGGTGCTGGTTACCTGGATGGTGCTACAGCAGGCAAGTCAGACAGCAGGGTGGCTTGTCACACCCATTTTAGCTGGGACTTCATTTCAGTGGACTGAGGAATTGGAAATCCTTTTCACCTCTCTTTGATCTTCCCTGCTTGGTCTCTGACTTCCATTCCTAACCCCCCTTTTCCTTGTCCCCAGGTTAAAGTTTTCTCTGCCATCCACTTAAGTGTATCCAATATACACTTGACACTTAAAAGGGCTCTGGGCACAGTTGATGTGTCCAATAACCTGGGTTTTTAGCACTACAATGCTATCGTGACTTGACTTTATTCTTGCATTTCCTTGGCGCCTTTCATCAGATGCTTATTCTGTCACCTACTACTAAAAGCTTGTCGTGTGGCTCAGACAAAAGGTGACAGTGGATGCTTGCATCCTCAGAGAGTGCATTGGGTCACTCGGAAGTTTACCCTATCTCCTATACAATGGAGTGGATAGTAAATGACCCTTGGGATCTCTTAGTGTTATGAAGTCCTAGAGCAGCTGTGTTTGGCAAGACAAAACCTGAGTGTGGAAGAGCAGCCAGGCAACAGTGCTAGCCAACTCCTGTTCTTACATGTTTCAAGGGCACAGCAGTGAGTGTCCTTGACTCCTAAGGGTGAGGACTGCCCTTTCAGAATGTTGAGATGTCATAGCCATCTGCCACTTGTTCCCTGGAGAACAGGTTTGGAGCAGGAAAGGAAAACTGCTCTCTGGAAAGCAAAGACAGGGATCAGAGTATTGGGTCTGCTACTTGCTGGAGTCTGGATTTGGCTAGACCATCAGTTGACCAACAGACCCTATGTCCCTGGGTCCCTACAGGGCCTGCTTCTCTTCTGCCATGTGCAGGACTTACTGCCTTACAAGAGTGATATCTTTTTGTTTTTGCATCCCCAACCCCTCCCCCCACATCCCAGCACAGATCAAGCATCTTCATGGCCAGAGCTGTGTTTTGTTCATTCCTTAAGGAAGTCCTTGTAAGGGTCAGAAATAACTGTAGTACGACAGACACTGACACCATGGTCCTTCATGACGTCCTCTTCCTTTCGTCCACTTGATGCTACTCAGCCAGAATGGAAGCACAAGGCTGAGACCAGAAGCCTCTCATCTGAGCTCTGAGGCTCGAGCTGTTAGTAGTAAAACTGAGGTTCTCAAACCTGAGTGGGTGTCTGAGCCACTGGAGGGCTGACGTAAACACAGGAGACTTGCACTTCTCTAAGGATCTCAGAGTTTGAGAAGCTGCCTGTCTGAATTCAGTACATGCTAAGATTGCTGGTGCCAGGCCCAGCCTCTAGGGACCACTGCAGGAGACATCACCCTTATCATAGATACAATGTGATAACCAGGGATTCGATGCCCATGCTCTTCTTTGATGGGGTTTATGCAACAGGAATACATTAGTGATGCTCGAGAACAGAAAACCAAGCACACTTGTCATTGGTGTCTACAGGACATTAGTTCCTCATCCTCATGGATTCCAGAATCTATGGACCTCAAATCTCTTTTTAATAAAGACTTTCATATTTGTGTCTATCTAATTGTATGTATTACTCCATCCAGACTTTAAATCTATCTAGATTACTTACAATAACTACTATGATATAGATATGTTGTAAGCATCTGATAGGCAGCAGGACTTAGGGAATAAGGAAGAAAAAACACTGCACATGCTCAGTGTAGAATGTATCCACAGATGGGGAGTCACAGGGAAGATCAGCTGTGTGTTGATCATTAGAGTCCAGTAGTGATAATGGCTTTGAAGGTCAATTCTGAATTCAAATCTAGCTATCCCGACTTACTATTTCTGTGATGATGACCACAGCAGGCCACGTCTTTAGGGTAATTTCTATACTTATGAATAGGAGTACAGATATCTGATTCAGATCAAACTTGTGAATGTTGAATTTAAGCACTCCTTTTATGGTTTCTGGTGCATGCCAGTGCCAGATTCTGATGGAGTGTGGTCTCAGTTAGAAAGCATTCACCATTGTGTTTCAGCCTCTATGTTCATGGGAAATTATACAAGAGAAATGGTTGTTGTCAATGCATCCAAGCAAATACCATAGAGGGCTGCAAGACTTTCTTAGTGTTGTATGTAGATTATGGATGTGGGAACGGTCTGCACAGTCTGGGCCATATGGTCCATGTGTGCCCCAGCACTATGCTTAGCAACGCACCTCACCAAGAACTCAGTGGACATTTGAATTTGGAGGAGAATGGAGACTTAATACCCATGCTTAACGATATGAAGGCAGCAAGAGGTGAACACAGGGCTGTTTTCTATCTTAGTGATAACAATGGCTCTGCGATTTATCACCATCATGGCACAACTAGCTGGGCAGCCTCAAAGAGAATTTTAATCTTTTTGCCTTTAAATGGGAGACTGACAGTATGATTGGCAGGGTTCAGAGCTATTTAACAAGTTCTTAAGTCGAAACTTAGCACATATGGTGTATGCACAGACTATTGTTTATTGAGAATCTACTATTGTCCAGGCACAACAGAGACCATTGATTCACCCTCCAAATATCACACTGTCTGGAGTGCAGGTGAATTCGGCTATAGAGAAAAATCAACCTTTCCCAAATAACATTACTGAAGCGCACGGCTGGAGATAGCTCCTGGAAGCCACACCATCGGTTAGGAGGTTGGCTGAAATTTTGGCTTAGACCCAGGGGATGCAGTGTGCACGATCACGCTGCCCATCATCAGCATCCTCCCTCCTCTGTTGCTCGACGCCGATGATTGTCATTTTATATGGGAAATGAACACGTTGGTTTAACAGATACTAAAGTAAGAGAGTGGACCGAAATATGTCATTTTTCAGACATTTTAATTTGATTTATATATCTCAAAAACTAATTTATATTCATATAATGCTTTCATTATAAAATATGCAGTGGTAGAGAGATTTGTGTGAATATGGGAATTTTTTAAAAAATTGGTTTATAAATGGCCTGGAACAGGTTGCAGAAGCACAATCAGTTGCTCTTTTTAATATATCTTGAGCATGCTATGACACATCCTGAAATAATTTGCTTCTGGGAAAAAAATCCACTACTCTCCTCTCTGTCTTTTCCCCCTAAAATGTAACTGTAAATATTACTTTGATGTATGTAATTGCTTCAACCCTCTCTCTTGGAAGGAAGGCTTCTAACCCTTCCATTTCCCATCTCTTGCTTTTGTCAAGAAATAAGAAAAACAGACTTAAAATGCATTATTCAAATGTGTGTAATGTAAACATTAAAGAAGTCTGAGCGCAGCTACAAATTTCCCTTTTCTTAAAATGTTTGTGAAAAATAACTTGTCTGTTCTGTCTTGAGGGCATTCATCCACTCTGAAGAGGGAGTTGACTTACCCCAGTGTACCCTTAGGTTGGCAGAGCTAAGACAGAGCGTCACATAGTAGGAACTAGAGAGTGCAGGAATTGACTTGAACTTGACGAGGGATGCCAGCATACAGAGACCTTTGGGTACTTCTGAGAAGAGAGGCTATCCCTGGAGGACTCGGATGAATGACATGTTCCAAGCACCTTGTTAACATCCACAACCCATTATCCCAGTCATTCAGGGGCTGAGCGACACACCGTGGTTCCAGATACTCAAAGGGAGAGGGATAGATGATCCCTAACGTGTCTCTCTTGGGCTGTCTAGAGACTTGGGTGGACTGTGGAAAAAGCCCCTGACAGCAAAGCTGGGGAGTCTATGGTCCCTCAGACAAGGCATATATCTACACACTAGCTGGTTAGCCAGCCTCTCAAGTCCCTTCTTTAACTTTGTGAAGTAATCCAATGAGGATAACATTGTTTTTGTGTATATGAGTCTATGTGTATGTGTATGTTAGTCTCTATGTGTCTGTGTGTATGAATCTGTGTGTGAGTCTGTGTGTATGTGTATGTGAGTCTCCGTGTATCTCTCTGTGTGTATGTGTATGTGAGTCTCTGTGTATCTGAAATCTGTGTGTATGTATATGTGTATGTGAGCTCTGTGTGTCTGTGTGTATGAATCTGTGTGTGTAAGAGTCTGTGAGTCTCTGTGTCTGAATCTGTGTGTGAGTCTCTCTGTGTGTATGAGTCTGTGTGTATGTGAGTCTCTGTGTGT